CTGGTCCCAAAAACGTGGGTCCCAAAAACAAACTTCCCTAAGGTCTGGGTCAAAGGATGCTTCTTTTCCGCTTCCTTTGGGTTGTTTAGACAGAAATAGTCACTCGCCTATGGGGAGTGGAGAAATCGCTCCAGGTGACTAGACACTGAAGATTTGTGGATTTTTCCCCCCCAAAAAAACTTCCAGGTTGTTGGTGACTTCTGTTAGTTTATTATGGACCCGCAGGCAAGTAGTCTCCAGGAAAACTGAAATAAATTGAAAAAAAAAATTTCCAGCAAAGGAGAGGGGAGGGGAGGGGAAAAAAGCTTCTTGCATGTGCTGCTTCTTTAGCTGATGGGAGAGTCAGTCATTCTCCCACTTGCCACGACAGAGGTGCATTCTTCCAGTGATCCTTGGCCCCTTTTGTGTCCAGGAGCGGCTGGAAAATAGCGGTTGCCACCCAGCAAGCCTCCGCTTTGGCAAATATTTCATCTCAAAATCTTTGCACAGTTCTTTATGGACCTTTTATTTATTTATTTTTTAAAAAATGCTAACTGCATTTGCTCTGACCTTTGGTTTACAATGAAATAAAACCGATTCCTTTTTTTCCAACCGGTGAGGCAGGAATAGGTAGAACCTGTTCTGTGTGGATAATGGACAAAGCACACATTCTGCCACAGGGGTGCGTGTGTGTGTATGGGGGAATCAATGGCAGCAAATCCATCTTGCCGATGGTTCGCAGGCATGCATCTTGGGAGGGAAGGTGGGCGCCTTTGGCACCCGGAGTCCAAAGGTGAAAGGTCAGCCTGTGGTTTTTGGTTTAAAAAAAAAGGATTCGGCTTAAATCTCCAAATCAGAAAACAAGTGTGTATGTCCTGCCCTCCTTATTTTAGCTTTTAAATACAGTACTTTTTAAAAAATGATGTAAACTACCTGGGGTCCTTTTTTAGGTAGGAAGGCAGGGTACAAATATTATTTTCAATCAATCAATCAGTATCGGTGGGCTAATCCGGTATCTCCCGATGGCTTCACAAGAACGGTCAGTTGCAGATTGCAATATTTCTTCTCTGCACCCAAAGCAGAAACGAAGCAGACTCTTTCCCGTCCTCCGGAGATTGTGTGAGGTTGTGTAGCTGGAGACCAGGTAGGGTGGGGGAGAATCGCCTCTGTTTTGTGGAAGATCCAATACAAGATGGACGGACTCCCTCAAGGAAGCCACAGCCTTGAGTTTGCAAGAGCTGAGCCGTTGAGGACGAGACCTTTTGGAGACCGCTCATTCATAAGGTCTCCATAAGTTGGAGGCCACGTGATGACACCCAACAATAACAATATCACCATAGTACTTTAAGTTGGTATAATTATCCCCTCTGTTGAGAGTGGCTTGCATTGGGGTGGGGGGAACGACTTGGTGTCTTCATCCTAGAAACAAGATTCAGTCCATGGCACATTTTTAAAAAAGGGCAGAAGGCACAACCTCATTCCTCGGGAAATTTAACTCTTTTTTTTTTGTTAGATTTTAGGAATTTGAGAGGAAGTGGGCTTTGAATGGGTAACTGTAACTAATTCCTCTGGGAAAGTCGAATTCTTTTCCAAGCCCAGTTCTCTGTCTGCCTGGCTCTCTCCTGCAGCGTCCCCGTGGCGTTTGGCAGAGAGAAAGAGAGCCGGGAGGCTCTGCTCCCAGAGAGGACTTTCACGGTTTCGTCCAGCTTAAGTGTTCCTGAGGACATGAAAAGCTCCCGAGCCAGACTCGTCGGGGCGTCCGTCACTGCTTTATAGCAATCCGGCGCACCGCAAGCTTAATCCCTTCTGTGCTGTAGCCAGCCTGGGATCAGTCTGGGAAGGTTTTTTTGAGTCATTTAAAGCCACTTTTTGTCATCAGACAGAATGCCTCCCCAAGCAATTTGCAAAGCTCTGGAGCTTTTGGGCTGAAAAGGCACAGCACCAAAGGAAGAAGAAATGGGAGGGAGGAGGAGAAAAGCAGACTCGGACACCATATTTTTTTTTGTTCCAGATGTTGCCTGGGCTGCTGTTTTAGCATGTACGGCCAGTGGTGAAGAGTGATGGAGGTTTTACTCTGCCAGCATTTGGAAGGCTGTCCACTGTCTACCCTTGCTCGAGGGGGGCAGGATCCTCTTTGAAGCCCTATGGCTTTAAACGGGGTGGTTGCAAGCTTCTGTGGCTAGAAAACAGACTATCCATGGGAGACTGAGCTCGGCTCACCCTAAAAGGACAGGCGCCTGAATATCTCAGTTGTTGTCATGCGCTGTCCGGTCACCTCCAACTTCTGGCGACCCTATGAATGAGCCATGTCCAAAATATCCTGCCCTCTGTGGCTTCCTTGAGGGAGTCAGCCCATCTCATGTTGGGTCTTCCTCATTCCCTGCTCCCTTCCACCTTTCCCAACATGATTGTCTTTTCCAGAGAAACCCCCCCCCCCCGTCATCTCATGATGGACCCAAAGGAGGAAAGAATCTGTTTCAACATTTTTTGCCTCCAGAGATAATCTAGCCTTAATTTGCTTTAGGATCCACTTCCTTGTCTTTCTGGCAGTTCAAGTTATCTGCAAAGCTCTCCTCCAGCACCATATTTCAAACAGATGATTCCCCTCCCCCCCCGGTCAACTTTCTTAACTGTCCAGCTTTTATACCCATAATAAGGTGGTCTGGGTCTCCAGTGACACATCCTTACACCTGAGGACCTTTTCTGATTCCTTCATTGCTGCCCTTCCTAGTAACCAAGTTCCAACGGGGGCGATGATTTGTTATTTTTAAAAAAACGTGGCCGAAGGTGAGGCCAACGCACCCCTGAGCAGATCCACTCACTGGCCAGCGAAGCTGTAGCCCCAAATAGCACTTTCTCGGCCCTGAAATTCAACATATTGGAATGCTTTCTCTTCTCTCTCCTGGCCTTGTTTGCTATACGCTGTCTGAGTAATGCATGTTCACTTCTCTGCCTGTTGCAAGGTTTACAGTAAGATAAAAATCAGGCAAAGCATTTTGAGGATCTGAAAACAGAATACTGTTCTTGTTGCTGCTGTTAAAGGTAGCAATTAAGTTGTTGCTGTACTGCAGTATCTAGAAACCTCATTACTTATATCTGGTATTGTTCCTGCCCAGAGAAGCCAGCATAGTTCGAATGTTGGACTGAAACTCAAATGACCCGAGTTCAAATCTCCTCTTGGCTGTGAAAGGCATGCCTTTTAACCTGTCTCAGCCTGCCCTACCTCGCAAGGTTGTTATGAGTATTCACTGAGATGAGGCCACATTCACTGTGTAGGCCACATCGAATTAACTGTAGAAGGGGCAAGATCTAAATGTCACAAGTAAGAGCTGTGTAGGCCACATTGAATTAACCGAAGAAGGGGCAAGATCTAAATGTCACAAGTAAATTTCTGATGGAGAGATTTCTGTTGATTTGCTGGTCTGTTCTATCCTATATATCTCTCCCATTTCCCTTGTATAAATCCTTCTTGGCAGCCAGGGTGCCGTTATAATTGTTTTTCCTCTAATTGTGCACATAATTTGTTGCATTGTACATTGTGAAAGCCCCCTATAGTACTTGTCAGAAAAATATAGGGAAATACTCTGCTTTCCCCCAAGAACATGGTGGTGAATTTGGAAGTGTCGGTGTACGGTGAGACAGCCTGCGACGTCATCTCTCCACACACGCCCTGGAGAGTTGGCCTGTGTCAGTAAAGGAGTCCATAGGTTTGGCTTCCACAAGGAGCGGGTTTTTTGTAAGGGTAATAGTTCTTGATTGTCCATTCAAAACCATGCCACCCTAAAATGCTCTCCACTGTCACAGAGATGGCTTGCGACGGTGTGTTGCTCCTGGGGACATGTTTTTCCTTGCTGCTAATGTGAGGGTTGCAGCTTCAATAGGAACAGGGAAGACTGAAGTTAGTGGCTAAGGATGTTATCATCCGGGCTAATCAGAAAGTCCTAGACCTTCAACCCTCTAAGCCCTGAGGCCACTACCCAGCTGCCTTCTAGGAAGGGTCGATTCTGATATTGCACTCTTGTAATATTTATAACAAGACAGAAGACCAAAAAAAGGAAAGAAAAGTTCTTTGCACTCGGGATTGATAAAAGAATGGTGTAAAACCTGAAAAATTCCTGTTCAAAACATCTCCCAAGAGGCCTTAAAATGTTTTGTAAAAGATAACATTTGAGAGTCCCTAGATGTTACTTCATTGCACATTAAAAACTTTGTAACTACTAGTTACATGGCCGGCTAACCAAAAGTAACTAATTACAGCCGTGTTATGTGTAACTAGTGATTTCCAAGCTTTGGAGCCATTTGGCACAACCAGGTAACCCTCCCCGACAGGTGAGCTACGGATGCGAGAGTCCCTTTCGCCTTGGAGGGGCGAAGGCTTTCGTGAAGCTGAAAAGCCCTGTCCCCAAGCAGCCGCCGCCGCTGCTGGCAGTTTTTCCTCTCCGAGTGTGGGAGGTCTTCTCCCACCCACAGTGTGGGAGAATTTGGGTCTACCCCCCTCCTTGATTGAAGTGGGTCAGTCAAGGTGCTGCACTGCCATTTTCTCTAATGCTGTAATAACAGCCAGAATTATGCTGACTCAGCTTTCATTGGGCTGTGTGAATGAAAACCCACCACTTTGTCTAACACACACATATATACTGTATATTTAAAAGCTGTATCTCTGTGGGAATCTTCAACCTTCCCCCTCCTCCTCTCTGTACAGCAAATCTCAGATCCCTGCTTAGAATAGGAGGGCTAAATGATGAATGCGTTGAAGTGGCCTTCACAGAATAAGGGGTCTGTTTTGATTTTTTTCATGGTCGATTGAGTTCATGAGATGGAAGATGAGAAAAGTGGACGACCCGGGACCTCCGTACCATCCTGATTTCCTGACAAGGTCAATCTTCCATCCGACATCCGGCGTCAACCCCGTTCATAATCTTCTCTCTATTCTGGGGCACAAACCCAATTCTGTGGATTTATTGGTGCCAAGTCTTTTGTGACCTGCTCGTAATCACCAAGACGCCTCTTTCCTCTTTCAGGTAAATCCCACCTGGCCATTGTCCAGAAGGTGAACAACGAAGGCGAGGGCGATCCTTTTTACGAGGTGCTGGGCCTGGTGACCTTAGAAGACGTCATTGAGGAGATCATCAAATCGGAGATCCTGGACGAGTCAGACATGTACAGTTAGGTCCTTTCTACATCTCGGCTCTTTCGGGTGGGACGTGTGGGCATGGGTTGGCGCATCCTCGTACTGCGGGCTCTCCGGAACACGCCACCCTTCAGGCTGCCTGACAGGTTGGGGATCCAGGTGGTGTGCGCTTGGGCTGGGCACGCGCAAGTGCAGAATACAGGCGGGGTGTCTGCAGAGGGACTATTTGCGGACCAAGAGGTTCTCTCTATCTGTGGGGCCTCCTTTCCTTTTAACGCCTGTCCTTCCCTCTGCGTAGCGGACAACCGCTCCAGAAAGCGAGTGAGCAATCAGAAGCACAAGAGAGACTTCTCGGCCTTCAAGGACAACGACACAGAGTCCAAAGTGAAGATCTCCCCGCAGCTGCTGTTGGCTGCTCACCGTTTCCTCTCTACAGGTAAGAGATGCCTTGGGGTGCCCTCGCTCCTGGTTCCTGCAATGGTAACGACAGAGAACAGTTTTCAAAGATGTGCTGGGGGCCCACAGGAGCATTTAATTGTTTTAACTTCTTTCGTGTGGTGCCCTGTATGTTCCCCATCAGGTAGAATCATGGAGTGGGAAGGGGTCCTCTTAAGGCCATTGGGTCCAAACCCCACCACCACCACCACCCCGCCCAAGGCAGGCATCTGAATCAAAGCAGATCTGAGAGAGGGAGGCCCAATTTTTCTTCCAGTGCCTCGTCCTGGATTCCAGTCTCTTACTGCTCAAACAGTTAAGAGGTTTTTTCCTGATCTTCAGCCTCAATCTGGCTCCCTGTAACGTGAGCCCATTGTCACACGTCCTGCACTCTGGGGTGACGGAGAACAGACCTTGCCCCTGATGACACTTAGAAACCCCACCCCAGATCTTTGCAGTAAAGATATATACATCTGGAATGGATGAGGGAGAACCCATAGATATGGGGACATGGCGCAACATCCCCTCACTGGGGCAAGGATGGAAGGAATCTTCCCTGAATTGTTTGTCCTCATTGACTTTGGCCTGTCTTGGCTCCATCTTGTCAAGCCCTGTAATATTCCTTCCCTCCAAGAAAGGGAAAGATCAGGAATTCTACTGTTTTATATATATATATATAGACTCTGTGATTTGTGCAAACTTTCTTTTGTGCAAATTGACTATCCTTTCCTTCTTAGAAGCAAGCCTTTCCATGGCCAAAAAGCTCAGAATAACTGCCCGATTGTGAAAATGAAACACACACACCCACACACCTCTTTTGATGTCTGTAATATTTCCGAACCCGTGCGGCGGCTGTCCTCGATTTGCACAGTTTTGCTCAATTTCCACCAATTCGCACCCACCTGCCTTCCCAAAAATGGTCCCGGTCCTTCTCCTCTCCTTGACAGCACCACAGAAGACCTTGTGGGACGAGGAGAATGTTTTTCATCATCTTTGCTGGTGATGACGGGAGAAGGGAAAGTTTCAGTCCCTTTCCCATTCTCCTGAGCTCGTCATATTTCACCCCGTTAAGGATTAACCCTGGAAAAAGGGCTTGACATCATTTGTTTGCCACAGACACCCGAAATGAAGGCAGAATCTCCCCTCTGCCCTGACAAGACTCAAGACATAACTCCTCCAGTTGGTTCCCTTTGTCTCACGTCTTGAGGCTCATCCAATAATCCAACCGCAAGGAGATTTCAAAAGCTCCTAAGAAACCCTTCCTGCAAAGCGGTTTCCATTGTCTCCTTCAGAAATTACAGGAGGGGGGGTTGCCTTCTGGGGAAGGCAGCCCTCCTATTATCCTGTCTGCTTGTGGCTTTTGGCTTGAATGGAGGGGGGGGGAGTGTTCTTCTTGCGGCTGGTTTGTTTAGCTCCCTTCTCCCTTTCTCTTTTTTCTGGCTCTGTTTCTCACCGCAGAACAGACATGTAGCCTTCAAGCGATGGCCAGATTTTTTTGGGGGGGGACCTCTTCCTAATAGAGAAAGAGAGACGTTTTGGTTCCTGAAAGAAGGGAGATTAGGATCAGAGCTTAGAAGTGGTTCTTTTCTGGCAGGCTGGGGGCAACTGGGAATTGTAGTCGAAAAGAAGAAGCATTTCCAGAGGTGTATTAGGGTATACTGTATTTTTAAAAAAGACCCAGCTTTAGGAATGCAAGCACTCAGCCCTGTTTGGCTATCTCCGAGCGGACCCCCTTCCTCGCAGAGAAGGCAACCTGAAGCAGCCTGGCCACCTTCCCTGGCATCAGCGAAACAGGCGGGCGAGCTACGAGGAGCAGGCGGGGTGGGGAGGGGTGGGGGTTCCACCGACGCTGAGCCCCCTCCCCTGCCGCTTCCCAAGGCCACCTCGAGGGGGCACCCTACTTGTCCTGCCCTGGGTGCTTGGCTCCCCACGCCTCGCCACTGCACGGGCCAAAGAGGCAGAAACACAGGGGGGAAATGGTCCTTCCTGCTCTTTCACCCTGAGGTTCTTTCAAGAACTGTTTTTATTTTCCCTTCTCTTTCCTACTTTTTGGGCCCTAACCCCCTGCTTTTTTCCAGAGGTGACGCAGTTTACCCCAGCCCACATTTCGGAGAAGATCCTGCTCCGCCTGCTTAAGCACCGGGACGTCATCAACGAGCTGAAGTTTGACGAAGAAGACAAGAGGGCCCCCCAGCACTTCCTCTTCGTCAGGAACAAGCCCGCCGATTACTTCATCCTCATCCTCCAGGTAGACCTCCGGCCTTGGGTCCCTCCTCCAAAGGAGACTCAATGATAGTTGTTGTGGTTTTTTGGGGCTCTTTGTCCGTGTTCTGAAGGTTGTTCTTCCTAACGTTTCGCCCGTCTCTGTGGTCTTCAGAGGACAGAAGTCAGAACTCTGCCTCTGGACTCTGTCTCTGTTCTGACTCCAGTCCTCTGAAGACGCGGGCCACAGAGACGGGGGAAACGTCAGGAAGAACCACCTTCAGAACACGGCCAAAGAGCCCGAAAAACCCACAACAACCATTAGATCCTGGCTGTGAAAGCCGTGTGTGTGTGTGTGTCCTTTGATTTGTCTGTAGTGGAGACACCGGGGATGCTGCAGATGTTTCGACCCAATGAGTTTGGAAGGGGAGAAATAATGTTTCTACAGCCAGTTGTGTGACTCTGTTTTGCATAGGAGCTGTGAGGTGCGCGAGTGGGACATTTGTGCAAAACCCAAGCCTTGGTATGCTTTCAGGCTTTCCAACTTTTGCTGGTGTGTGTGTGTGTGTGTACGTCCTTTGATTTGTCTGTAATGGAGACACCGGGGATGCTGCAGATGTTTCAGGAACTGCAACCCCAGTCAGCTCTAGTTAGTCGAGCCAGATGCAGCATATCCTGGAAGATTCAGGCCGGCAACATCTGGATGGCCGAAGGTGCCCACTTTCCTCCTCCAGAAGCTGTTGTTGGGTTTCAACTTCCATCATTCCCCAGAGGAGGTGGATGGTGGGGTTTGTAGTCCAGCACGTCTAGAGGCTCCCAAATTGCAGACCGCTCTCATAGCGTGCACATACAGTTCTCGGGGCAACAATCTTGTCAACCCTTGGCTTTGCTCCAGAAGAACTCAGAATGCGGTCTAGAACATCTCCCAGGGAGTTCTAGTATATGCTGGAAAAAATCAGCAATTCTAGGCCAGACTTAGCTTTTTCTCCCTTTTTGTCAGGTCCTCCCCCCTGAAAGTTTCCTCAAGCATTTGGCGAACTGATTTGGGGAAAGGGGGGGTTGGAGAACATGGATTTGAGGCTCTCGGTCTGTTCAATAGAGATTCTCAGCCTTCTGTTGTTTTCTCTCTTTTTCTCTCCTGCAGGGAAAGGTAGAAGTGGAGGCTGGCAAAGAAAACATGAAATTTGAGACTGGCCCATTCTCTTATTACGGGGTGATGGCCCTGAATCCGGTTGTCATGACAGGTAGGTGACTTTCCATATTCCTCTCGCTGCCAAAGGTTGCAAATGGGAAAAGGGCGGGAAATGGGGTATATGGCCAGAAATAGGGAAAACTACTTCTTGGTCTACGACGTCCACAGTCCCCCCACCCGGTATGGCCCCGAAGAGCTTACACTGTAAAATGCGACACAAGGAGGACATCTGGGGAAGAGAGGAGAGAGAGAGAGAGGGAAGCCAGCCTTATTTCAGGGGCATGAGAGCTGGCTGGGTTATGGGCTGGGTTCCTGCGGAGCGGAAAGGTTTGTAAGAAACATGGGGGATGAGCTGAAAAAGGGGACTCTGAGGAAGATGGAGAGAACGTGTGGACTTGTCTTCTAAGGAGAAGGCTCAGAGCTCGGCAGAAGAGCTGAGCTTGTCTGAGGGTGCAGCTGCAGGAGCAAAAATCGGAGGCAAGCAAGTGTGCCTCAGGAGATAACCACCAGGAGAATAAGGGGAGGGCAAAGTAGTGGAATGAGAAGCGGTCATCGGATGTAAGGATGGAGAGAACTCTCATTTTATTTTCCCATTCTGGCTCATGCAGAGAGCCTTCAATGTCCCATTATCTTTTTTGTTTCGTTTTATTTCATTTTATGTATTTAGAAGATGTTTACCCGGCCTTTCTCCTTAAAACGACCCGAGGCGGCTTACATCATTAAGAGGACAATATTTAAAAGCTTAAAAAAAAAAAAACCAGGAAGTCAGCAAAAGAAAAAGAATTAAACGAGCATCCCATTAAAAACAGTAATTAAAACCATACCAAAAATACATTTAAAAGCAACAGCACATAACATTCCAGTTTGAAAAGCCCTCTCGGACTGCTAGTCAGTCAGGAAAAGCCTGTCTGAAGAGAAAGGTCTTTGCCTGCTTGTGGAAGAACAGCCACGTTGGAAGTATGATGGCCAAAAAACCCACAACAACCATATGATGGGGTGCTTTCCCTCCTTCCAGTAACCTTCCGGGCCCCTGCCCCTTGCCCAGGGCCACAAGATCTGACTTTTCTCCCTGGCAGTACAGGGAGAATGCCAAACTCTGGTCTTGCAGCACCAATACTCCCGCCCAGAGAGCTAGCCTTCCAGTCTGTGGCTCTGGGGTTCCCTCGGCTGGAGGCTAGGCTTCTCACGGCACCACGCGGGTGGAATGAGCGCCACCTTGGCGTGCCACGAAAACTTGCTGGAGCCAGCCTGTTTGTCCGTTCCGGCCCTAAGTCCAAGACGTTGCGTTTCAGCAGCAAGCATGATCGTATTAGATGGAAGGGGGCGCCACCTAGTGGCCAGCCTCAAACGCCTTTGAAGAGGATGCAGTCAGCTCTTATGCATTAATTCACCCTTCATGTTCCATCAAGGCGAATCTGGGACTTTACAGCTTGCCCAAGGCCAAACAGCGCCACCTAGTGGCCGGCCTCAAACGCCTTTGAAGAGGATGCGGTCGGCTCTTATGCATTAATTCACCCTTCATGTCCCATCAAGGCGAATCTGGGACTGTACAGCTTGCCCAAGGTCAAACAGGCTGATTCTCCTCCCAGGAGAGGGGAATCGAACTCCCAACCAGATACCCAACTCACGGAGCTATCCAGTCAGTTTTAATTGCATACTGTCAAGTCAATTTTTTATTTATGGCAAAACTTTTCAGGGTTTTCCAAGTAGAGAATACGTTCTGATTTATGGCAAAACCTTTCAGGGTTTTCCAAGTAGAGAATACACAGAAGTGCTTTACCCTTCCCTTCCTCTAGGGGGCAACCTTGGGACCGTGCAGCTTGCCCAAGGCCACCCAGGCTGGCTCTTCTCCCAGGAGTCACAACAGGAATGCTTTGTTTATTAAACCTGCAGATTTTTAAATGTTTACAAATGTGTTAAAATTGTTTTAATCTTTGTTTTAATCTTTATATATTTTGCTTAGTGTACTCCTATTGCTTAGTGTACTGAATTGCACTAGAGGAGACCCACTGAAACAGTGGGAATTTAGTGAGTCCACTCCTCCATACGTTCCATGGATTCAAATGGGCTTCCTTTAAATGCAGCTGACTTTAGCATACCGGTAGCAAGTCACACTTAAAGTAGGCCCATTTGAATCTACTTTAGCATACCGGTCACACTTAAAGTAGGCCCATTTGAATCAAGAGTGTAGGGAGGCATGGGCTCACAAAGTCACCATTGATTCAGTGGGCCTACTTGCTTGCAATTATGAGCGACAGGATTTTGTCCTCTGGGAGTGTGTATATATGCACACAGAAGAATTCCACCCAATGTGGGATTCCATTTAAATGTCCCAGTTTGGGTACTGGAACAGGCAGATTCCCGAAAGGTTAGAGATAATTCCAATGCGTATTTTTGGCCATCCTTAAAAAAGGGGGGGGAGGGAAACTCAGGCTTTGAAAAAGGGGGAGCAGTAAACCCACCAACTGTTGTGTATTTCTGTGCATGTGCTTTTCCACTCATGAAATCCACCATACCAACAGGTATTTGAGATGGGGGAAAGGTTTCTTTTGACTGTCCCCCCCACTCCTTTTTTGCCTCTCTTTCTCATCCTGTTTTTCCGTGTGTGTCTGTCTGCACGCCTGTATTTTGTGTCTAGCTCCACCAGACATTCCCCAGCGCTGCCCGCCTATTAAACACCGAGGGTCTTTGTTTTCCAGGGTGCCAGGTAAACTGCACAACTGTGCATGGAGTGAGGAGTGTGTGCATTAACCCTTGCCTGGTGGAGGCTGGTGACACGGTGGTGGCACATCCGCTCCGGGTGTTAGTCCGAACTTTACGAGAGCTGTGGGGTTGCTGAGTCCTCTGCCCAGAATAAACCCGGAACCCGGGACTCTAGCTCCTTTTAATACTTGGACTAAAATCTGGAGCGAGATAAGAGTCAGAAATCTTCACAGCACCTTTGCTGTGACTCAGAGGGATCGCATGCTGGTGGAGGGAGACCTTCCCTTAAGGGTGCAGAACGAGGGAAGGAAAGCAATTCTAACGTCGGCGCTCTTTCTTCCTGCTGCGCTGGATCTGAGGACGGGTGGGGTGAAAGCCCCCTGAGGGACCTTTGAGATATAACCTCTTTCCTTCTTACCACCACTTACCTGACAGGCTGATTGTAAAGTTAAAATGGCCCATGTGCCACATCTGTCTTAAGCATCTCCGAAGAAGAATGGGGATAAACCTGCGATGGGTTAATATTTAGTCCTCGGGTCTCCTTGGTTTTCTCATCCCTGGCATTAACTTCAGAGGCATCTGCCTTGTTCCCTGTTGTTTGCTAAACGCATGTTCATCAGCTGCCTGTTTCTCTGTATTGTGGCCACAGTTAGCACCGGATCAAGTTCAGCATCATCAGCATTAGAATCTCTGTTATGATCTTGCATTACTTAGGACCTTTTTAAAAGATGTGAATTTTTGCACCCTTACAACCGGTGTGCACAGAGTTTGCTCCACATTTTCTTTTAATAAGTCCATCCTTTTAAAAAAAAGGGGGTGTGTGTGCTAAATACACATTTATTAATCCCAGCTAGAGGACACCAACTGCATGAAGAGGGCTTCCACAAATGTTGACTTAGCACAATCGCATTGATTCAGTGAGTCTGCTCTAACTGAGACTCAGAAATGGACCTGCCTTTTAGGTCAAGCATTTCTCATCATAGACACTCAAATGAAGATCAGTGGGATGTTAGTTTTAACTAGAGGTGTAAATCTTTGTGTTTTCGGACTGCAACTTCCAGAATTGCCCAGGCATGAGTCCTGGGAGTTTCAGTCCAAAACCACAAATCTGCACGTTTCTAGCTTGAACCCTGCCAGAAGGACACCTTTTTCTGGTTTGAGAGAAGGGGAGGATCTTAAGCCAGGGCAGAAAGGAGAAAAGGACAGGGTGCCGTTTCAGTTGCAGAGATTTTGAATTTTGGCAAAAATTCCTCTAGCTGTGCAACAGAAGTGCAAAGATTCATAGATCACAATTAGCTTCAAGTTCTACAGAGTAGACCAGCCCTTTTTCTCTTCATTAAATGGCACTTACTGTACAGTCTCAGGGATTCACTCTGAGACATTTGAAGTTGAAAGAACGGAAGCTATTTCCTTTACTTACGGTTCTGAACAGATCAAACAGCAAACTAACAAAACATGGCTGCCTGAAGCCACAGGTGTCCACAGATTTGCTGTTTCCAACAGAGGGTGAGGGAAGTGAAGCAGAGAGCCAGGGAAGGAATGATTGGCTGGTGCTAGATAGATTGACAGTCACCTCAGCCCAGAAAGGTCCCTCCCCACCACACCTACTAGGGGCAGGGGGGGAAAAGAAAAGAAAAACACCTCCGAGCATTTCTGGATCATCCTTTTCTGTGTCTAGTTTCAGAGGCACGTTCCCCATCTCACGTGAGTAATCTCAACCGCTCGGCGTCCCTCTGCTACCACGAGCGCTCCGATTCCCTCTCTTCCACCTTCAGCGGAAGCAACAACCAGCTCAGTGCCAACGTCAGCTCGCAGTACGTTGCGGATTTTAGCGTCCGAGCCCTCACGGACCTGCAGTACATCAAGGTGAGGCTTGGGTGGCAGGATTGGACCCTATCAGACGACAAGGGGCGGGCAGGGCCCTTGGCCACATGGAGTCGCCCTTTAAACTAAAAACACATCTGCTCAGCTTTGAAACCTTACTGCAAAAGCTAGCATTTTAGTGGCAGTTTTTTTCAACACAAAAGCTCCAAAAATAGTATTTTATTGTAATATAGCACTTTTCAGATCTGAGGGCAAGGGTCAGTGGTACCTTTATGGAACCACTAGAAAAGTGATGAGCGTACGCTCGCTTTCGCCCCTGCACAAAACGTCATCAGGCAGGAATACCACAAAGATGGTGCAGAAAAAAAAACATTTTAAAAATTCCCTAAAATTACGATCTATATGTCAGGTTCCTATGTTAAAAGTAAGTGAGGGGTACAGGCTTAGGCCAGAGGTATGTGTTTCACACAGATAATGAAGGGATATGTCTTTGTGTGCATTGTGAAAGCTAAGTTTATTCTGGGGAAGAGTTTTACTTCTGACTCTTACCTAAAATGATTGTCTTGTTTGTGCAGGAATCGTTTTGTATGGAAATTTACCAGTGTTAGACACCTTGCTCTTGAGTCTGAGATGTTTTTACTCTCTACAAACACAGATTATAGTCCTGCATGCAGAATTTGGCCTTTGGAGAGTCTCGGCCATGTTTACAATGCATGCTTCTCGTCCTTAATTTGAAAACATGTGAAGAGCAAGGGGATTTGACAGGGCAGCACAGGGACTAAAGATGATATTTAGCGATAGTCAGGCTGCCAGCAATTTATCCCCCACCCCATAGTTAGGAGGAACAGAATGATTTGTATAAAGTAGGGGTGCGCTTGTAAAGCTGTGCATTCATTCTGCTTAAACGGTACGACGTTTATATACACAGGGTGGAATTTTATTTTTCCTAGTGCAGAATTGGGATTTTTTAAAAAAAGCAGAAGTACTTCCACATCAGCCGCCCCCAACTGTGCAGCCTCGAGAAGTGTTGGACTACAACTCCTAGCAGTCAGCTGGGGGCTTATGGGAGTTGCAGTCCATCGTACCCAGAGGATGCCAACTTGGAAGACGGCTGTTCTCCACACCGGGCATGGCCGTTCAGGATCAACAGCTCTCTCTCTCTTCTTCCTCTGCCCCGCAGATCACGCGCCTCCAGTACCAAAACGGTCTCATGGCTTCCCGGCTCGAGAGCTGCCCCCAGTCTCCAGACAGCGGCCCGCCAAGGCTGGAGATCTCTTTGTTGGAAAAGAGGGACGCCCCCATTTTAAACAACGAGACGACCAGCCTGATGAATGAGAAGAACTGCCAGCAGCACAGATTGAACCACAGCCCTTCCGACAGTGTGGTCTGACCTCGGTCCCCAGGCGACCGAGCCCTGCCCGGCTCGCCTTCCCTTCTCTTCCCTTCCAAAGACACGTCAGTGCCCACAAAAGGATAACCATCCTGTGTCTACAAACCTCAGGTAGCAGCGGCAGCGCGGAGGGAGAAACGTCCCTCCCAACGCATCCTGGTGATGTTTCTCTTGAAGCCTCCCGCCCGGGGGTCTGACCCTCTGTTTCCCGACACCGGGACGGATTTTTTTTGTGATCCATTCAGGTCCGCGGCCGGACCCTGGAAGCAGGGCGCTCCGCTGCCGAATCCCAGGAAACCGTTTCTGGCGAAAGGGAATCCCAGTCGCTGGCATCAAAAGTCGGCTTTGGTTCTCAGAGTCCCCTCAGGTCCGCGTTGCGGCTGGGATCTGGAAAAAGAGGAGGTAGCTACTGGAGGATATTTAAAGGGAGTTTCCTTGCTGCTGTTTTTCTATGCCGGCTTTTATTTTTTTGGTCTTTTTTTAATTTAAAAGAGAGAGAGAGAGAAATGGAGATGAAGCCACAATATGTCTCAGGCCGGTGTGAAAGGGAACGATCCCATTCTGGAAGTTGGCCTGATTCTGGATTTATCTTCTCCCCCCCCCCC